GATAAAGTAGTTTAAATACTGACTGAAAGAAGAAAATGAAAGCATTGAACAGGGAGAACAAGGAGACAGAGGGAGCACAGACCTGTAGACAGGAATGTGTGACCCTTTTCACCAGCCGACTAATCGATATGGGGAACCAGAACTGCAGCAGTGGACATATACCGTCTGAAAACAGGAAAAGGTAGATCTCCCCTCATGTCCTCTGTGACCTCCCAGAGGTCAGAAAGTGACTTTCCTCCACCACCACCACCACCCACCAGGTGGCTGACAGCATCCCCTCATCCGTCCTAGCTCTGTGGTCAGGCCCACGCTGCTTGTATCTGGCATCTGTATAGTATGCTCACATCTCTACATTCAGGAACTCCCTCAAGCAGCCAGTGGATGGTGCTATGCATGGCCTGCAGCAAAGCCCTTGGTCTGCTGGGCACCACCTCTGACAGAGCCCTCTTGTTGATACCAAACACCTCCCCAGCCACATCTGGAGTAGTGAACCCTAGGTGGTGTGTGCCATTCCTTACCTTCTAAGGTTAACTGTTACTGTCTCTGCATGCTAGCCATTATCCAGCCCTTTCTGTCCTCAGCCTCTGGATTGATGGAGATGCTATACCTACCCTAGGCTTCAGTGAGATCAGCAGAAAGTCTGTGCCAGGCTGAGGGCCCAGTCTCTCAACACCCTCTAGACAGGAAGCAAGGATACTGATGGTCCAACTATCATTTTGGGGGGTTAATCACCTCTAAGATGAGCAGTCACCTTTAAGATGAAGGGGTATCCCAACACTGAAGTTTTCTTGGCCTGGTAGGCATACTGTCCAGGCCAGACACGTCCTCCCCCCCCCCCCCCAGAGGGCATTACTGTCCAGGTTAGACCTCCTACACCACCCCCCCACCCCCCCCACCCCCACCCCCCGCAGCGGGGACACTCTCCAGGCCAGACCTCCTGTCCCTCCCCCTGCAGCAGAGCACCAGAAAGGTGCCCAGCTCCCACCTCTCCATGGTCCCTCCGTCTTCCTTTCTTGGTTTTTATTTTCCATGGCTTTTCAGATTTTTGGCTACTTTTTGGTTTTTGGCTTTTTTTTTGTTTGTTTGTTTGTTTTATTTTCTTATGTTTGGTGGTAGTTTTGTGGTTTTTTTCTTGTGTGTGTGATTTTTTAAAATATCTTCCACTTTCTTTTCTCACTAACTCTTTTACATTCTGGTCTCTTCTCGCTCCTCCATTTCACCTTTTTTATTGTGTAATCTTGTTTTGGGGTTATTGTGGTGTTGTTCCATCTGACAACAGACAGCAACAGTCTCCAGCCCCAAATACACCTGGTCAGTGAAAGACTGTAGCCACCGCTGGTCTAGCCGGCCTTTGGCTGCTCTACACAAAGAGCCAAGTGAGAACTACACACACCTTTCCATCCCATATCCCATCCACCGAGAGACGAAAGGTCGTGAAACATCCAGAAATGCCAAATCAGTAAGCGGCACAGCACACATGCACAACTAAATCAGATATTGCAAATCAAATAATACAAAGACATCAACACCACGATGTCACACAACAGGTAACTTAAACCAGTCAGAAAAACCCAGGATGAAGTAAAAGCGGGAGTAAACTACAACTCATTGCTGTCGAGTCAAAAGCCACTCCTAGCTGACCGTATTTGTGATTGATTATACTTGAAGTCCTAGCCAGAGCAATAATGCAAGAAAAGGCATGTAAATTGGCAAAGAGGAAGTAAAATTGTATTTGTACCTTTCGGTCCCGGCGGCGGCAGCGGCGGAGCCAGCGGCGCCTCCCTTTCCCGGCCTTCGAGCACCCAGTCCCTGCTGTCAGCCAGCTAGCTCCACAGCGATCTCCGCCACCATGACGGAACAGGCCATCTCGTTCGCCAAGGACTTCCTGGCGGGGGGTGTCGCCGCCACCATCTCGAAGACGGCCGTGGCCCCGATCGAGCGGGTCAAGCTGCTTTTGCAGGTCCAGCACGCCAGCAAGCAGATCGCGGTGGACAAGCAGCACAAGGGCATCGTGGACTGCATCGTGCGCATCCCCCGGGAGCTGGGGCATGCTGTCCTTCTGGAGGGGCAACCTGGCCAACGTCATCCGCTACTTCCCCACCCAGGCCCTCAACTTCGCCTTCAAAGACAAGTACAAGCAGGTGTTCCTGGGCGGGGTGGACAAGCACACCCAGTTCTGGAGCTACTTCGCCGGCAACCTGGCCTCGGGCAGCGAGGCCGGGGCCACCTCGCTCTGCTTCGTCTACCCGCTGGACTTCGCCCGCACCCGGCTGGCCGCCGACGTGGGCAAGTCGGGCACGGAGCGCGAGTTCAAAGGCCTGGGGGACTGCCTGGTCAAGATCAGCAAGTTGGACGGCATCCGCGGCCTCTACCAGGGCTTCAAACGTGTCTGTCCAGGGCATCATCATCTACCGGGCCGCCTACTTCAGCGTCTACGACACGGCCAAAGGTATGCCCCCGGGCCCCAAGAACACGCACATCGTGGTCAGCTGGATGATTGCGCAGACGGTCACTGCGGTGGCCGGAGTGGTGTCCTACCCGTTCGACACCGTGCGGAGAAGGATGATGATGCAGTCTGGCCGGAAAGGAGCGGACATCATGTACACAGGGACGATCGACTGCTGGCCTAAGATCTTGAAGGACGAGGGTGGCAAGGCCTTCTTCAAGGGCGCCTGGTCCAACGTCCTGCGGGGCATGGGCGGGGCCTTCATGCTGGTCATCTATGACGAGCTCAAGAAGGTCATTTAGGGCCGCTGCTGACCGCTGCCCCTCCCCCTCCGTGTGGACCACCAGCCACCCCTCCGTGTGGACCACCCCTCCTTCCATGTGGACCATTGTCCTCCAGGACTCCCCCATCTGTCAGGACCACCGGGCCTGGGGCTTGACCCCCTCGGACCCACCGCCCACCCGCACCGTCCACACTTCCAGTAGTAGACGGTGCCCGGGGACCCCAGTCCAGAGGGCACACGGCGCCATGTGTGCAGTATTTATTTACAGAATCATGACTCCTCCCCGCCCACCTGTGTGCGAACCTGTGTGACATCTGTGCGTGTGTCAGCGCCCCCACTTCTGCCAGCCCCCCATCATGTCTCCACGTCGGGCTCCAGCCGGACCAATAAACAGGAAGCGCCAGTCGGGGGGGGGAAAAATTGTATTTGTAGATGCTGTGACTTTATACAAGGAGCTCTGGGGATCTGGTAAGGAGCTGTGCTGCCGACCCAAAAGCATGAGGTTTGAATTCACCAGCTGCTTCAAAGAAGATGACAGTTTTCTGCCATACGATTTGGTACCTCTGACAACCTGCTGGACGGTCAGCTATGGGTCGGTTCCACCTGCGGCATATAACAACATTATGGTTATCATGGATACAGAAAATCCCAGACTCAGCAATAAAATGACTGGATCTTGTTGACTGATTCAGTAGACTGTCAGGGTACAAGATCAACATACAAAAATGTGCTGGATTCCTCTATATTACCAGAGTGCTATGAAAAGGAACCAAGGAAGAGCAATGCCATTATCAACAGTATGTAAAATACAGTAGGCACCATACAATGTACAATAAAGAGTTGGTCAGACATTGTGATTAATTATGCTAAATAATTGTAATTACTGTTATAAAAGTGTATGAAAAATTGCATGAAAACCAGTATGGTTTGTAAATCTTCACTCAAAAAATAATTTTAAAAAAGGGACACAAAAGGACCACTTAATTCTGGGAAACAGGAAGATGGATATTATTAATTGCTGCTTTGTGCTTTATTATTTTCAAAATGAAATAGATTGCAAAGAGTATTTACAGCAGACTGACCTTTCAAAACATGTAGGATTTAGAAACTATATTTTAAAAAGTTTAGATTTAACTACATGAACATTAAACATTTCTGAATGTAAACAACAGTGAGCTCAGTAGAAAATGAATATTAGGGAGAGAGTATGTGTCACCAAAATGGGAGATGCTGGATGATTTTCTCTTCCAGTCGTCCTCCTTTATGCTCTGTCCATAACTGAAGGACTTCATCCATTCCATCCTTATCATTCCATCCAGCCAGCTATCTATCTTCTCAACATTTATTGAGCGTTTGTGTGTACTGTTGTTGTTGATTGCCTTTGAGTTGAGCACAACTCAGTGACCCTATATGAACAAAAGTCCTGATGCCTCTCTACACCTATCAACATTTATCAAAGTTCATAGAGTTTCCGGAGGCATGTTGTTTAGGAAGTGGATGCCAGTCCTGCTTCCAAACCTGTCATAGTATGTTATTGTTGTTTTATGCCATTGAGTTGCCTGTGATGTATAGTGACCCTATGTACAGCAGCTCTGAACCCTTCCCTGTCCTGAGCCTGTCTCACTAATTCTGACACACCAACCCCCATTGCCCCAGTTACTATATCAGTCCATCTCATCCAGGGTCTCTCTCTCCTGTGCTGCTCTCCACCCTTCTGAGCATGATGTCCCTCTCCAAGGACCAATCTCTCCTGGCCAGATGCCCAGAGTAACTGAGGTGGAGCTTCAAAATCATAGCCTCCAAGGAGAGACTTAGTTTTACCCTCTCCAAGACAGACCTATTTGTTTTCTTAGCAGTCCATGGTATGGTCAAGATTGTTCTCCAGCACCACAACTCAAAGGCATCTATGTACTAGACATGGTATTAGGCTCTGGAGACATGCTGAATAAAATATACCTTCCCTATTCTCAAGGCACCACAACTCAAAGGCATCTATGTACTAGACATGGTATTAGGCTCTGGAGACATGCTGAATAAAATATACCTTCCCTATTCTCAAGGCATGCTCTCTGCAGTTCCTTCCCACAACTCTGTATGTGGGATCTAGTTTGTCCTAAAAAGGACAGGAAGAACTTTATGACCTTTGCAGAATTATCAGATTACACAGGGAATGTGCCAAAGGACTCATTTCCTACCTGTGTGTTTCCTGATTGAAGCCTTACAGCCACACCTGGAGACCAACCTCTGATGTACTTACTTTCTTTCCTGCAGACCCAGAACCAGATTGTCTACTTCATTCGTAATGCACCAGTTTCCATAACTCCAGAGAACTTTCAAACGACTGTGCAGTTTGGGACAGTGAAGGGCGCTTACATTCCAGCCCTGCTTCGGCTGCTCAGTGGCATCTTTGTCCCTCAGATCTTTGCAAACACCACCTGGCCTGAGAGCATTCGAAACCATTTTGCGTCTCATCTGCACAGGTTCTTGGCCTGTCTAACAGGTGAGTGGGAAGCGTGAGTGCCTAGTTTCTTCTGATTGCAGAACAGGTGGAGATGCCTCTTCAGGGCCTGTAGTGCCCAGTCTGGCCTCGGGTCGGGGTTACCCAGTGTGGTAACTCACAATGTCAACCTCCACCCCCATACCTACATGGATCTCCTCTTATACTAGACCATATAGAATCCTTAGTAATTTTAATCGTAAGTTAGTATGTCACTAGTATGCTAGTATTTCTTTCTTGTTGTTAGGTGCCATCAAGTTGAGTATGACCCACAGTGACCCTGTAAACAACAGATTTGAAATCTTGTCCTATCTTGTGCCATCCTCACACTTCCTGACACACTTGAGTCTACTGCAGCAGTCATGATGTCAGTCCATCTGGTCGAGGGTCTTCCTTTCTTTCACCAACCCTCCACCTTTCCAATCATGATCTCCCTTTCCAAGGACTAGACTCTCCTAGCAACATATCCAAAGTACGTGAGATGAAGCTTTATCATCTTTGCCTCTGGAAAGAGTATCCTGGTTGCGCTTTCTCCAAGACATAGCTGTTTGTTCTTTTAGGAGTCCATGGGATATTCATTACTCTTCTGTAACACCATGGCTCAAAGGCATCAACTCTTCTCCAGTCATCCTTATTCATTGTCCAGCTCTCAGATGCAAAGCCAAGTGGTTGAAAGACAATGGCTTGAATCAGACACACCTTAGTCCTCAAACTGAAATCATTGCTCATCAATAGTTTGGAGAGTTCCCTCACTGCAGACTTTCCCAGTGTAATTCATCTCACGATTTTCTGACTGCTATCACTGAGGGTGTTGATTGTAGATTAAAGTAAAATTAAATAGTTGACAACTTCAGGCCTTTCTCCATCTGTTATGATGTTGCCTATTGGTCCAGTGGTAAGAATGTTGTTTGTTGTTTTTTCTTGAAGTTGAAATGTAACCCATATTGAAGGCTGTATTCTTTGATCTTCTGTAGCAAGTGTTTCAAGTCCTCCTCACTTTCAGCACACAAGGATGTGTCATCTGCATAATACAAGTTATTGATAGTCTTCCTCTGATCCTGATGCCACATTTTTCTTCATAGAGTCCAGTTTCTCAAATTAGTTGTTCAGCATACAAATTGAATATGTATGGAGAGAGGATACAGTCCTGACACACTTCTTTCTTAGACCAGGAAGCAGTTGTCAGAACAAAGCAAGGAAACACTGCATGGTTCAAAATCAGGAAAGGGAGTGCATCAGGAATGTGTCCTGTCTCCATACCTTTTCAATCTGTATGCAGAACAGATAACTTGAGAGACTGGACTTTGTGAAGAGGAATGTGGTATCAGGATTGTAGGAAGAGTCATCAACAGTTTGGACTGAAACTTAACATCAAGAAAACGAAGATTCTCACCACTGGGCCAAATGTCAGCATCGTGATAGATGGAAAAAGAGATTGAGATTGTTAATAATTTTAGCTTGTTTGGTTCCACAATCAATCAATTCTCTTGGAACCAGCAGTCAGGAAATAAAAAGATGAGTAGAAGTAGGAAAATCTGCTGTCATCAATCTCTCCAGAGTGCTGAAGAGCAAGGATGTCAGTCTAGAGACTAAGGTGTGCCTGATTTAGTCCATGGTCTTTGCAATTACTTGCTATGCATCAGAGAGCTAGACAATGACCAAGGATGATAGAAGACAAATTGATGTCTTTGAATTATGGTGCTGGAGAAGAGTATTGAACAAACCATGGCCTTCCAAGAGAATTAACGGGTGTGTCTTGGAGATGGTGAAACCAGGCTGCTCCTTGGAGGCAAGGATTTTGAGACTTCATAGCACACACTTCTGGTATGTAGCCAAGAGGGCCCAGTCTTTGGAGAAGGATATCATGCTTGGAAGGGTGGAGGGACAGTGCACTAGAGGAAGACCTGAGATGAGATGGATTGACACAATAACTGGGGTAATGAGGGTAGGTGTGTCAGAGGCAATGAGATTGGCTCAGGATAGAACAGGGTACAGAACAATTGTGCATAGGGTCGCTATGAGTTGTAGGTGACTCGCCAGCACATAACAACAACAACCGTATTCCCTTGCTCTGTTTGCACAACAGCTTCTCGGTCTAGGTTTCTCATGAATACAAGTGTTCTGGGATTCCCATTCTCCTCAGTGTTAGCCAGACAGCACATTCCATTATAATATTTTGCTTTGTCTTCTCAAACTGCTCTTTGAATTCTACTGTTCAGCTCTTTTACTTGATCATTTTCCCCCTTTTCAGTGCTCCAGTGCAATTTTCGGAGTCCTGTCTGACATCCATTTCAGTTTTTTCTTTCTCCTCTATCTTTGTAATGACCTTTTGTTCTCTTCATGGATAATATCCATGATGTCATGTCATCTCACAAACCATTTGGTCTTCAATCGTTGATCTTCAGTGCTTCAAGCCTATTCTTTTTTTTGTTTTCTATTTCACATTTTTTAAAATTTATTATTAATTTCAATGAAAATTTACAAAGACTTTGGATTTCCATTCATTCATTGTTGCACTTTTCTCCCCGTCCAACCCTCCCCCAGTACACTACCCTCTTGGAAAAGTAAAAGAACAATTTTTTCATTGTTTTACAATCCCTCCCCCCAGGTCCACTCCACTAAACAGCCTTCATTCTGGACTCCTGTCATGACAAAGCTACCTAATCACATATCCCTTTTAAACAGTTTTCTCCCTCATCTGTTTCAATGCAGTATACATTATTGAGGCCATCTTTCTTAGTCTCCCCCCAACCCTGAGGTCAGTCCTGTTTTACAACAGTGGCACCACGCAGTATTTGTCCTTATGTGACTGAGATATTTCACTCAGCATAATGTCCTCCAGGGTCACCCATTTTTAATAATATTGCATAAGTTCCTTGTAGCCAGGAAATTAAAAGACGTATTGCCATGGGAAAGTCTACTGTTAAGGACCTCTCCAAAGTACTGAAGAGCAATGGTGTATCTCTGGAGACTAAGGTGCATCTGATACAGGCCATGGTCTTTGCTATCACTTGTTATGCATCAGAGAGTTGGACAGTGACCAAGGAGGATAGAAGGAGAATTGATGCCTTTGAGCTGTGGTGCTGGAGAAGAGTATTAAGGATACCATGGACTGCTAGGAAAACAAACAGACTCA